ATCCTGCACCCTCTCCAATCTGGAACCCCTCGAGGGATGTTAAACTGCCCACCAGGATCGGGTCTAAACGGGCAGTCGGACATCCCTCTCAAATCCAGGACTGCTGGCTCCCAACTGCTCGCCTGCCTGCCTTCCTGATTGCCCCTACCCGCTTCTGTCTGCCGGCCTGATCACCCCCTAACCACTCCCATGCCAGCCTGACTGATGTCTAACTGCTCCCTGCCAGCCTGTTTGCTCCCAACTTCCCTAACTGCCCTCCCCTGCAGGATTGATTGCCTCCAATTGCCCTTCCTTGCAGACCTGGTACCTCCCTACTGCCCCTCCACCGCTTGCTGGCCATCTTGTGTCCACATAGGGGCAGGATTTTTGACCACATGGGGGCAGCCATCTTGTGTGTTGGAGTAATAGTCAATCTGCATATTACTCTCTTATTTGATAGGATAGAGGCCTGGTGCATGGGTGGTCCTGTTGATTTGCTCTGAAGGGTGTCCTGGATCAGGGACCCTTGGGGTTTGAGGTGGCCTGGGCGAGGGGCCTGTGATGATTTGCAGGCCGGCCACGTCCCCCAGCAACCCAAGCAGAGGCCCTGGTATCTGGAATTTATTTACCTTCTACAATTGAAACTTTGTAACCTGGAGCAGAGCCAAGCCCCCTGCTGCCACCATTTCTGTTTGGTTTTATGTATCTTCTATAATTGAAACTTTGTATCCTTGAGTGGAGGCTTAGGCCAGCCAGCGCAGGTGGAAAGCTTTGCTTCCCCTTAGCCTGCTCTCTCCAGCTCCACGCTGCCATCATTTTTCTTGGGATTTATCCTCTATAATTGAAACTTTGTATCCTTGAGTGGAGGCATAAACTGGCCAGGGTGTGTGAAAAATGCTGGGGAAACCCAAGCCTCACAACTGCTCTCTATGGCTGCAGCCATCTTGTTTGGGATTAATTTGCATAGTCACTCTGATTGGCTGGGAGCTTGACTGGTGGGTGTGGTTTGAGCAGAGTGATGGTTAATCTGCATATTACTCTTTTATTAGGTAGTATGCCAATCTCCTTTTTATCACTCCCAACTTGCACCTATGCAAATCCTAACTAGATGTTTCCCAAACCTTTTCTCTACCTCCATTCATATAATCATAAATTAGTCCTGCCAATACTGATCACTTCCCAGCCCTTATTTTTTAATCCTCACTATGGACATGGTCACTGAATTTTAGAGAGGGAAATGGGGGGCAGAGAGAGAGATTGGTTTCCAAGTATCAAACCTCCAACCTGTGTCTTGACTGGAAATGGAGCAAACCCAACACTCCAACCAACTGAGCCACACTAGCCAGAGCCCAATCACTCCCTTTTCTAAACTCAGAAAAAATACATAGAAAAAACATACACTTGCCAAAACCAGTTTGGCTCAGTGGATAGAGCGTCAGCCTGTGGACTGAAGGATCCCGGGTTCGATTCCGGTCAAGGGCATGTACATTGGTTGCAGGCACATCCCCAGTAGGGGATGTGCAGGAGGCAGCTGGTCGATGTCTCTCTCTCATCAATGTTTCTAGCTCTCTATCTCTCTCCCTTCTTCTCTGTAAAAAAAATCAATAAAAATAATAAAAAAAAAAAGCCAAAACCTGTTTGGCTCAGTGGATAGAGCATCTGCCAGCGGACTCAAAGGTCCCGGGTTTGATTCCGGTCAAGGGCATGTACATTGGTTGTGGGCACATCCCCAGTAGGGGGTGTGCAGGAGGCAGCTGGTCGATGTTTCTCTCTCATCGATGCTTCTAGCTTTCTATCCCTCTCCTTTCCTCTCTGTAAGAAATCAATAAAATATATTTAAATAAATAAATAAATAAATAAATAAATAAATTAAATTAAATAAAATAAAAATAAAAAAGAGCCGAAACCGGTTTGGCTCAGTGGGGAGCGTTGGTCTGCGGACTTAGGGGTCCCGGGTTCGATTCTGGTCAAGGGCATGTACATTGGTTACAGGCACATCCCCAGTGGGGGCTGTGCAGGAGGCGGCTGGTCGATGTTTTTCTCTCATCAATGCTTCTAACTATTTCTCTCCCTTCCTCTCTGTAAAAAATCAATAAAATATACTTTTTAAAAAAGAAAGAAAAAACGTACACTTTTCTGTTGTCATATATATTCACTGCTTCCTCAAAGTTCCTTGTGAACAGAAACTACTCCATACTTAGTTTGTCCCCTTTGTGCCTAGACACTGGAAATGCTTCAAAAAATAATTTCAGTAAGTATTTGTATTTTCAGAGGGAAGTATATTAAGCATTTTTTTAATACTCCCAAAAATCAAGTTTTATAAAGCTTATTAAAATGAAATTTCACCATCAATCATTTTACAAGTACTGACTTTCTTATTCTAAGGGCACATGCTTTGGAGAGGAAGCCATGTCAGAATCACAGCTCCACCACTTAATAGCCCTGTGATCCTGAGCAAATTAATTCATTTTTTTATTGGCCTTTTTCCTTATCTACATAATAGCACCAACCTGATAGTCAGTGATGAGATAATGCATGAATGTTTTATTACTAGAGGACCAGTGCATGAAATTCGTGCAGGGGGGAGGAGGAGTCCCCTCAGGCCAGTCTGCACCCTGTCCAATCCTGGACCCCTCGGGGGATGTCCAACTGCCAGTTTAGGCCCCATCCCCAGGATCAGGTCTAAATTGGCAGTAGGACATCCCTCTCACAATCCTGGACCACTGGCTCCTAATCACTCACCTGCCTGCCTGCCTGGTCGCCTCTAACCGCCCAACCCCCTGCCAGCCTGATTGCCCCTCACTGCCTCTGCGTGCAGGCCTGATCCCCATCCAGCTTGCACAGGGGGACCTGAGGCTGCACGCCCCCCCTACCCTGTAGGACTTGACAAGAAGACCGGAGGCTGCGCCACACCTCCTCCTCGCACCTCACCTGCCTAGCTCCGGGCCAGGGGACCTGATGCTGCACCCCCCACCCGGTGGGGCTTGCCAAGGGTGGGGCCGGCCAGGTCTGGATCTCGCCCAATTGGGATGAGGCCAGCAGGGTCTGGGTATTGCATGATTTTGAGGTGCCGCAGGTGGGCGGGGACTTGACTCTGGGTTCTGCGGCACACCCAGACTCTGACAGGAGGGAAGATTTTCATATAATTTTACTAATTTTCTTTCATCTCTGATACTTCTATTATAGAGAAAGGACAAATAGAAATATTAAAATGTTTCCTCTAGGGGAGGGAGGGGATGTCTGAGAGGGAGGGAGGGGGGCAAAAAAAATGAATAAAACATGTAAAAATAAATAAATAAATAAATAAATAAATAAATAAATAAATAAAAATGTTTCCTCTAATCCTCTTTTAATGTGTATGAACTTCATGTACGGGGCCACTAGTGTGTGTATCCAAAAATAGCATTTCTAGGAAAAATAAGAAGAATGAGGTTTGGAGATCTTTTAAAAGAAGCATTTTTGGGCCAAAAAAGAAAGATTTTTAAAAATATTTAAGTGTCATTTAAATAAAACTCACTGTTCAATGTTCACAATTAGAATTCATCTTTAGAGATTACAAAGACTTGCTTGCAAAACAGCAACAGGACATTATTTTGATTTTGTGTAATTAATTTTTAAAACCTGGGATTAGATTTTTAGGGGAATGGACCAGATTGGAATCACAAGTGGAGAAGATAAATGTGGTTTTCCCATCTATACTTAATATCAGACAGTCTGTTAACTTTCTGCTCAAACTTTGCTCCAGTAGTTAAATTAGAAAATCTATCACCCAATAACCAATATGGTTTGTTGATATGTACTGTTTCAATGATATTAGACAGGCACAGGAAACACAATGACACCTTACCAATATTCTCTTAAAGGTCTAGGGAAAAAGAACAAGAACAGACCAAAAATCCATGAATCTAAGAGGATTCATAAACATTGAAAACAAAATATTTTAACAAAGGAAGAAAGAATCTCAGGACCAATAAAAAAAAAAAAAAAAGAGTTTAACTATTTAATATCTATCCACAAGGGCAGTCTACAAATATTTGCTATAAATCAGGAAGGAATTATCTTCATTTTGAATCCTCAGAACCTAGCACAGTGCCTGGGTCAAAGAATACTGGCTAAGTCAAAGAACAAATGTATTTAATGAATGGTGTCAAAAAAGAATTCAGAATATAGCTATTATCCCTTTATTTAAAACATTAAAATAGATGTGAAAATTTTTAAATATCTGATACACAAAAAATAAAACAGAAGGAAAAAATGTAAGGTAGAGCCCCTAGTTTATGAACCTGTAACATCTTAAGCAAAGCCAACTGTATGTTCTACCTTATCACCAATACATTCTTTTTGTAAACAACTAGAATCACTAGAAATCAACTGTACTTCATCTATACTCCCCTTTCTTTTAGAATTATGGCAATATTCCCTGCCAATATAATGGATGATAATAAGTTTTGTTTTTGCAAATTTTAAACATTACCAATAAACCAAAATTCTTGTTTCTGAATTCTATGTACACAAGGAATGACTGGCTCAGGCCTCTACTTTGGAATTATTTTTCCAGAAACTTAACACCTTCCTTTTCACAATGGAGCTCTAAACAACTTCCTCAAAAATGACACTACTCTAAAAATAGGTTAACAACATATTTTGATTAACAACCAATCTAAATCTCCCTTCCTTCAGCAAATGAAAAACGAAGCAAAGGTAAGGACATTGGATGCATATAAAATTAAATTATTTTGTAAAATTTTAACACCTCAATTTACAACTCACTAGTTGAGCACAAATAATTTGTGCTCATATTTTGATTGCTTTATCTTGTTTTTAGGACATTAGGCTAAGGTTAACATTCTTATGAAATCCTTTTGGCAACATTCTGCAATATTCCACTCCTATCATGAGAATGGCAACAAGGAAAAGCAAGCACATACTTCTGGAGACTAGATTCTAACACATCTGAAGAAAGACAGTTCCAACCTTCCCTTAAAAACAGGCCTACTTTTCTGACACTCCAATTCACTTACCTCTCCCATCGCTCTTCCCTCCAGAGCAAGTGCTTGAAAATCATGATTCAGTTCATCCATTGATCGTACCTATTGTTCAGAATAGAGAAGGGAAAAGTTTCAAGCTAGCATCTTGAATTTTACATACACATTAAACAACTGAAAAGCTTTTGTTGACTTTCAGACATTGATAAAGACTAACAATTTTCAAGTGATTGAGATTAAACACTCACTTACCTTTAGCCATCAGGGTTCAGCAATGACCCCTGCTTTCTCCCCTCCCATTCCCTTTTGTTTTCAAAACATGAAAAACATGTAATCCAAACAAAGAAGAAGCAAATTACAGCATGATAATTATGTTAGCTATTTTTCATACATTTTAATTTAATTAAAGACCAACATACTGAAGAGCAATTACACATGAAGATGATTATGTAACCTAAACCTGATCACTAAATCAAAGACCAAATACTTGTCCCTTTGTCCCCAAACAGGAGCATATAAATGAGGGAACTCATTTGATCCAAATTAAATACATTTGTTCTTTGACTTAGCCAGTATTCTTTGATCCAGGGACTGTGCTAGGTTCTGAGGATTCAAAATGAAGATAATTCCTTTCCTGATTTATAGCAAATATTTGTAGACTGCCCTTGTGGATAGATATAAAATATGGTATTTCTTTCCACGGGGAGAGGGGTGCCAACTATAACAGAGTGCCCCAACATTTCTCCATACTGGAAAATTTTGGGAAGGCTCCTAGAATCTCAAATTCAGACGGGAAAAAATAACATATTACAAGAATTCCTTCAAACTTCACCTATCAGTAAATGTACTACCTACATCATAACCTTTCTGGGGGCTTCCATTAACTCATTCCTGTCATTACTACAAGGTAATGTTAAGATTAAGGATGAAGCATGAAATAGATTCAAAACATTCAAAATTAGCCCTGGCTCAGTTTGTTGTCATCCCACACACCAAAAGATTGTGAGTTCAATTCCACGTCAGGACACATCCTAGGTTAAGAGCTCAATCCCCAGTCGGGGCGTGTACCAAAGGCAACCAATCTCTCTCTCTCTCTCTTTCTCTCCCTCACTCCCTCCCTTCCTCCCCCTGTCCCCCCTCTTTCTCTCTGCAATCAGTAAATGCAAAGAAGGTCAAGCTTGGGCCAGACAGGGAGAGGGAAAAGTACAGAGAAGAGGAACCAGAATTCAGCTCAGGGAACCAACTTAAGGATTTATTAACATGCTGCCTACTAGTATATATCACCAATAATCTTAATTTAAACTGACACCACATAAAAATACACTTGCATTGTTTTAAATCACATTCTTTTCAAAACTCAGAAGTGATACTATGCTACAAATGGCACCTTGTGTCACTAAGATGTAACAGCTTTGAGATGCTTGCTAAAAATATAAATTTATAAAATTTAAAATGGCCTTGGCCAATGTGCCTCAGTTGCCTGGGCATTGTCTGGTGCACTAAAAGGTTGCAGGTTTGATTCCTGGTCAGGGCATATGCCTGGGTTGTGGGCTTGATTCTGATAGGGAATGTGAGGGAAGCAACTCATCAATGTTTCACTCTCACATTGATGTTTCTTTTTCCCTTCCTCTCTCTCTAAAAATCAATTTAATAATAAAAATAATTTTTTTAATTTTAAAAATGAAGTTAAAATTGAGTCGAGAGACCAAAGACAGAGACAACCCTTGTTACTGTAGTGAAACAGTTTGAAAAGGCCTTCAAACAGAAAGTGTGACCACGCTGTAAAGTGTTTAAGTAAGCTTAAATATTTATTTATTTATTTATTTATTTATTTATTGAATAAGCTCTAAACACTATGCAGTAAAAATAAAGGAATAGGGGAGGATGAGGGTAGGATGTTAGCTGGAAACTCTACATGTTACACGAAATCATTTTGAGTTTTAAGGTCAAAGTTAACATTTACACAGTATGTAAATCAAATGCACAAAGCTCTGAATCTAGCTCTTTCTGAGGAATCTGATAATACATTTAATTAGAGCTAGACATTTCTTAAAAATCCAAAAATCTACAAATAGTTTTAACCAAGAACACTGAAAATTCTATTATTTCACAAGGAAAATGTAGGACTAAGCAAAAACATAACATGCAATATCCATATTTATGTAAACATCACAACATTCTCACAGATTATTCCCCGTTAAGAGATTAAAAAATAGCCCAGCTGACATGGCTCAGTGGTCAACCTATGAATCAGGAGGTCACAGTTCGATCCCCAGTCAGGGCACATGCCCAGGTTGCTGGCTTGACCCCCAGTGTGGAGTGTGCAGGAGGCAACCAATCAATAATTTTCTTTCATCATTGATGTTTCTATCTCTCTCTTCCTCTCCCTTCATCTCTAAATTCAATAAGCAAATTTTTTTTAAAAGATATTATAAAAAACACAGAGCCCTAACCGGTTTGGCTCAGTGGATAGGGCATCGGCCTGCGGACTGAAAAGTCCCGGGTTTGATTCTGGTCATCCCAGTGGGAGATGTGCAGGAGGCAACTGATCGATGTTTCTCTCTCATCGATGTTTCTCTCTATCCCTCCCCCTTCCTCTCTGTAAAAAATCAATAAAATATATTAAAATAAAAAAAAAAAACACAGGGCATAAGATAAATGACTTCCCCAACCATTGCTAAGTGGGGAAGAGGACTTAAATGGCATTGCTAGGATCTAAACCCAGGTCTTCCCATTTAAAGAGCAAGGTCCTTTCTTCCTACATCACCTGCTGCCTGCATGGTAGCCACAGAAGTTCCCACCCCTAGATAAAACTGCCTCCTGCTTCTGCTGTTGGTTTTGATAAGTATGCTTTCATGGTCTTTCTTGTCTTTGCTTTCCACTTCTCTTCCCTCCAACTTCAAAATATTCCCACCCTCCCCTTGCAGCAATTTCCACTCCTTTCTATTCTATCTTCCCACTCATTCTCTCTCACCATTTATTTGTTCACTCGCTCACCCTCTCAGGTCTCCTCTCACTCACTTTAGCTCTCTCTCTTCACTGCCTTCCTACTTCCTGTAGAGGACTGTTGAAAAAGCAGCCTCACTTTGTGAAGTTTTCTTTGTTAGTCCAGAACCTCCATTTTAAAACTACTTGTCCATAGTTGTCTACACCAGAAAGACCAAATCATTATCACAAAACTGTTTTTAATTAATAAGGAACTTATTGTTTAAAATGGGAGCTACACCTGATATGGTCAACACCATGCAGACTCTGCAGCCAAAATTCTTCCTAGAAAACATAACTACGATCAGAAATCAGATGCTTAGAAATTCAGATAAATCAAAGAATGAAGACAGAGAAATGTAAATAATATTATAAGCAGATAACAAAAAGCCTTTTCTATCATAAAGGAGAAAGGCTGGCTGTAAATTACTATTATCAGAGTAAATGCTCTCATGAAGATAGAATAATCTTTTCAAGTTCTTGTACTCAAACTCTTCTTCTTCTAGAATTCAATCTGAGTGGCCAATGTTAATTTCCAGTATTACTTACTAAAATTCCTTCACTTCTGCTAAATGTTTCTAAGACTCCACTAACTGATCTTATCTATCTCCTTTGATTTCACAAAATTATTTTCTATTTTTCTCTTAGGGCTACTTGCCAGTAATATAACTTTCTGATGTCCATCCAGGACTTTCTCTTCTGCTACCCCTCCCCTTAAAGGCATTTCCCACTCCCTTTATTAAAGAATCAAAGCAAGCCAAAGCCAGTTTGGCTCAGTGGTAGAGTGTCAGTCTGTGGACTGAAAGGTCCCAGGTTCGATTCCGGTCAAGGGCATGTATGTACCTTGGTTGCGGGCACATCCCCGGTAGGGGGTGTGCAAGAGGCAGCTGGTCGATGTTTCTCTCTCATGAACGTTTCTAGCTCTCTATCTCTTTCCCTTTCTCTCTGTTAAAAATCAATAAAACACGCCGAAACCGGTTTGGCTCAGAGATAGAGCGTCGGTCTGCGGACTGAAAGGTCCCAGGTTCGATTCCGGTCAAGGGCATGTACATTGGTTGCGGGCACCCGGTAGGGGATATGCAAGAGGCAGCTGGTCGATGTTTCTCTCTCATCGACATTTCTAGCTCTCTATCCCTCTCTCCTCCACTCTGTAAAAAATCAATAAAATAAAATAAAAAATCAATAAAACATTAAAAAAAAAAAATCAAAGAGGCCACTTCAGTGCCTGACCTACCCCTATATTCCTCTCTTCATCCCACCCAATGACACATGACCTATGCTTCAGTTTCCATTTCCAGATTCCAGAACTTTATTCTGTAAACCTCAACATCTGCCTTCTTCTCTCGATAACAGGGATTCCGTCCTAATCTGAACTATAATTTAGCATATTAAGTGTGTGCTTAACCACTCATTAAATTATAAAATCAAAACAAATATACTCAGAACTATACATCACATCATCCTAAAAGGAGACCCTGTCCCCAAAGCAGCCAATCCCTATCCTTCCCTTCCCTATGCCCCTCCCTCATGCCCTGGCAACCACCAATCTGCTTTCTGTCTCTATGGATCTGCCTATTCTGCACATCCTATATAATAAGAGTGTAATATGCTAAGTGTCCAACAGCTTGACCAATAGCTATGATACACACTGACCACCAGGGGACAGTTGCTCCAACCGGTAGGTTAGTTTGCTACTGGAGTCCAGCTGACATGCCCTGGAGTCTTCCCTTGGTCCCTCCCTGGCCAGCTCCAACTGGAACTAGGCAAGATGGTCCAGATTGCCAACCAGGCTGAGGGACCTCACCCATGCACAAATTTGTGCACCAGGCCTCTAGTATGGGGGGGAAAAAAAACAAAACACCTAGCCCTAAGCTAAGTGGATAGAGCTTCGGCCTCTGGACTGAAGGGTCCCAGATTCAATTCAGGTCAAAGGCACATGCCTGGGTTGCAGGTTCAATCCCCAGCAGGGGTTGTGCAGGAGGCAGCCAATCAATTATTCTCTCTTATCATTGATATTTCCATCTCTCCCTTCCCCTTACTCTCTGAAATCAATAAAAACATATTTTTAAAAAGAATTAAAAGGTTCTAAAGCCAAGAAAAATAATTGAAAAAGAAATTAA